CTGGCCACGAAATGGAGCCTAGTCTTATACGGTGTTGGACCAGAAGACGCCAAAAGGCGCAGAACCACAAAGACAACGCACCATCAGAGTAATGACGGCTCGGGGTGAGCATTTACATTATGAGACCTCCTTTGCCAGTAGCAAAATATAATGGATGGAGTCACCCCACACTTCACCACCCCACAGCACGCGACCTGCAGGATCGACCATGAGCGTGTTAGGGGCCGTCCATAAATGACGTCACGCGATTTTGGACGATTTTTGACCTCCCCCCCCCTTCGTCACATGACGTCACAAAAAGTCAGACCCCCCCCCCTCAAATATGACGTCACAAAGCTCTGCCCCCCCCCCCCCAAATAAAACATGCTTCAAATCGCTTTAAACTATTGTCATTGTAGTGCGTATTTAATGTGGCGCTGCACTCTGATGTTGTAGGAGAAAACATTTATTAAAAATGATATTTAATTAAGTAGAACGTGTTGTCTATAATTATTTAAAGTTGCGCATTTTGATGTGACGTCACATTTCTCAACCCCCCCCCCTCGTCACAAATGTCTGACCCCCACCCCCCCCCCCTAGGTGCGTGACGTCATTTATGGACGGCCCCTTACCCAATTCACCCTCCTGGGCGCACAGAGGCGTGCGTTAGTTTGAATTGCCGCGCCGGGCCCGATGTGCTGAACAACGCGGAATCAGAATTATCATCGGTGGGCAGAATGAACGGTGGCGCAGCGATTAGCGACAGCACGCAACGAACAGCGTTCTGAGTTCGGTTTCTCGGCCACGGCTAACGTCAGCAGGCCAAGCGACATCTGAAGAGGTCCTACACCTGCCCTCCCCACCACCACCATCATCATTGTACCAACGTGGTGAAGTATGGTCAGACAAACTCCCCCCCCCCCCAACCCCTCTTCCCCCATCACCGACGCAGCCTTCATCCGAACAGCGAATTAACAACATGACGAGCAGTGCGGTGTAATCATCATCGTCGTCGTCGTCAATATATGTACAGCATCTAATAGTCTTCTTGGTTCTTTCGGTAAAGTCACGTAGAAGGGAAATAATGAAATAAAAAAAATAAAAGATAATACAATAATTCTCACGACGTTTCGGCCACAACGCAAGCAGCCGTCCTCAGGTGAAGAACAGGTCTGTCGGAAAGACAGCGTCTGAATTTCAGACGCTGATTTTCAGATGCTGAATTTCAGACGCTGTCTTCTCGACAGACCTGTTCTTCACCTGAGGACGGCTGCTTGCGTTGTGGCCGAAACGTCGTGAGAATTATTTTATAATGTTTATTTTTATTATTTTATTATTTCCCTTCTACGTGACTTTACCGAAAGAACCAAGAAGATGAATCCCTGCAGTCACGAAAGCTTTAAATCTAAATCATCTAATAGATCGATACATCTCCACGAGCCGTATCCGTGAGCGCTGTGGAGGCAGCTCTGATGTGCAATATATAAATAAAAAATAAAACATTTCACGTTATTGCGGTGACACCTCGTCTCGGAAGCCACGCGCAGTGCAAGACGGCTCTCCCAACCATAACAGAGGTTAGTTATTTATTTTGGGGTTAGATCACGTAAATATATAAATGTGTCGTGAAACCCACCACCACCCGACACAGCCAACTAGTAAGGGTTGTCACGTAAACGGAACGTGGCCAATTCGTCACTAGTACAGCACTAGTGTGTAGTGTAGTGTATTGTGTATAGTAGTGTAGTGTATTGTGTAAGTAGTGTAGTGTATAGTGTAGTATATTGTATAATGTAGTGTATAGTAGTGTAGTTTATAGTGTAGTGTATAGTAGTGTAGTGTATAGTGTAGTGTATAGTAGTGTAGTGTATAGTATGTAGTGTATAGTGTAGTGTATAGTAGTGTAGTGTATAGTAGTGTATAGTGTAGTGTATAGTGTAGTGTATAGTAGTGTAGTATATAGTGTAGTGTATAGTAGTGTAGTATATAGTGTAGTGTATAGTAGTGTAGTATATAGTGTAGTATACTAGTACAGCACACTGGTGTGTTGGAGAGCCAAGCCACACCATTTACAATCTGTGCACGACGTTTCGCCAGTAATTACAACCAGCTTCATCAGGCGGACAGCCAGATTTGTGGGGAAATCCGCCTGTTTCGTTCCTGAAATAGAGGCGTAGATGTGGTGACGTCACTTGCGAGCCCTTCGCATGTTAAGGTGGTGTAGTAACTACATTATTAGTGTCGTAGTAGCGACATTATTAGTGGTGTAGTAGCGACATTATCAGTGTCGTAGTAGCGACATTATTAGTGGCGTAGTAGCGACATTATCAGTGTCGTAGTAGCAACATTATCAGTGGTGTAGTAACTACATTATTAGTGGTGTAGTAGTGACATTATCAGTGTCGTAGTAGCGACATTATCAGTGTTGTAGTAACTACATTATTAGTGTCGTAGTAGCGACATTATTAGTGGTGTAGTAGCGACATTATCAGTGTCGTAGTAGCGACATAATTAGTGGCGTAGTAGCGACATTATCAGTGTCGTAGTAGCAACATTATCAGTGGTGTAGTAACTACATTATTAGTGGTGTAGTAGTGACATTATCAGTGTCGTAGTAGCGACATTATCAGTGGTGTAGTAGCAACATTATCAGTGTTGTAGTAGCTACATTATCAGTGTTGTAGTAGCGAAATTATCAGTGGTGTAGTAGCGACATTATTAGTGGCGTAGTAGCGACATTATCAGTGGTGTAGTAACTACATTATTAGTGGTGTAGTAGCGACATTATCAGTGCTGTAGTAACTACATTATCAGTGGTGTAGTAGCGACATTATTAGTGGCGTAGTAGCGACATTATTAGTGTCGTAGTAGCGACATTATCAGTGTCGTAGTAGCGACATTATCAGTGTCGTAGTAGCGACATTATCAGTGTCGTAGTAGCGACATTATTAGTGGCATAGTAGCGACATTATCAGTGTCGTAGTAGTAACATTATTAGTGGCGTAGTAGCGACATTACCAGTGTCGTAGTAGCGACATTATCAGTGTCGTAGTAGCAACATGATCAGTGTCGTAGTAGCGACATTATCAGTGTCGTAGTAGCGACATTATCAGTGTCGTAGTAGCGACATTATCAGTGGTGTAGTAGCGACATTATCAGTGTCGTAGTAGCGACATTATCAGTGTCGTAGTAGCGACATTATCAGTGTCGTAGTAGCGACATTATCAGTGTCGTAGTAGCGACATTATCAGTGGTGTAGTAGCGACATTATCAGTGTCGTAGTAGCGACATTATCAGTGGTGTAGTAGCGACATTATCAGTGGTGTAGTAGCGACATTATCAGTGTCGTAGTAGCGACATTATCAGTGGTGTAGTAGCGGCATTATCAGTGTCATAGTAGCGACATTATCAGTGGTGTAGTAGCGGCATTATCAGTGTCGTAGTAGCGACATTATCAGTGGTGTAGTAGCGACATTATCAGTGTCGTAGTAGCGACATTATCAGTGGTGTAGTAGCGGCATTATCAGTGTCGTAGTAGCGACATTATCAGTGGTGTAGTAGCGACATTATCAGTGTCGTAGTAGCGACATTATCAGTGGTGTAGTAGCGACATTATCAGTGTTCTAGTAACGACATTATCAGTGTCGTAGTAGCGACATTATCAGTGGTGTAGTAGCGACATTATCAGTGTTGTAGTAGCTACATTATCAGTGTTGTAGTAGCGACATTATCAGTGGTGTAGTAGCGACATTATTAGTGGCGTAGTAGCGACATTATCAGTGGTGTAGTAACTACATTATTGGTGGTGTAGTAGCGACATTATCAGTGCTGTAGTAACTACATTATCAGTGGTGTAGTAGCGACATTATTAGTGGCGTAGTAGCGACATTATTAGTGTCGTAGTAGCGACATTATCAGTGTCGTAGTAGCGACATTATCAGTGTCGTAGTAGCGACATTATCAGTGTCGTAGTAGCGACATTATTAGTGGCATAGTAGCGACATTATCAGTGTCGTAGTAGTGACATTATTAGTGGCGTAGTAGCGACATTATCAGTGTCGTAGTAGCGACATTATCAGTGTCGTAGTAGCGACATGATCAGTGTCGTAGTAGCGACATTATCAGAGTCGTAGTAGCGACATTATCAGTGTCGTAGTAGCGACATTATCAGTGTCGTAGTAGCGACATTATCAGTGGTGAAGTAGCGACATTATCAGTGTCGTAGTAGTGACATTATTAGTGGCGTAGTAGCGACATTATCAGTGTCGTAGTAGCGACATTATCAGTGTCGTAGTAGCGACATTATCAGTGGTGTAGTAGCGACATTATCAGTGGTGTAGTAGCGACATTATCAGTGTCGTAGTAGCGACATTATCAGTGTCGTAGTAGCGACATTATCAGAGGTGTAGTAGCGGCATTATCAGTGTCGTAGTAGCGACATTATCAGTGGTGTAGTAGCGACATTATCAGTGTCGTAGTAGCGACATTATCAGTGGTGTAGTAGCGACATTATCAGTGGTGTAGTAGCGACATTATCAGTGTCGTAGTAGCGACATTATCAGTCGTAGTAGCGACATTATCAGTGGTGTAGTAGCGACATTATCAGTGTCGTAGTAGCGACATTATCAGTGTCGTAGTAGCGACATTATTAGTGGCGTAGTAGCGGCATTATTAGTGGCGTAGTAGCGACATTATCAGTGTCGTAGTAGCGACATCAGTGACGTAGTGACTTCATTAATTATAATGAGTGTCGTAGTAGCTACATTATCAGTTCAGGGAGGGGTTCGGCAATCAGTCGAGGTGGGACCCCCCCAAATATTGTGATTTGTCTCTTCGCAAGGCTTTGCGGATGTCAAGACGGCCATTCCTGCGTCCTACCGGGCACCAGCCACTGCCACCTCTCGACTTAGAGAGGCTCTCCGGAGGGAGTGGTGCTGGGCACCGAGATTCTCCCCTTGAATTCTCTTCCGAATCCCAAGCACCACATCTGTGCCCCCCCCCCGCCCACCCGCTTTCCGGAATCTTAGTTGCTGGCTCCACTGTCCATCTCGTTCCTCGACGTCACTCTCAGCTGTGTCATATCCTTCCATGTTCACTTACTACACCAACCACATCATCAGATGTGGCAACCAGGACCTCAGGGCCCTCCGTCATTTACGTTCTCTCATCACCACCCACATCGCCGACACCCTCGCCCGTGGCATGGCCGACTGTTGCAATCTCCGTCTGTCTTTATTTCTCATCGAGTAACCTCAAGAAACTACAGCGGCTGCAAAACATCCTCTGCACCTGTCATCATCAGGGAAATTCCCTCGCCTCCCTCCATAACCTGCTACAAGATCTCCTGCCTCCACTCCCTCCTCCACTGGCTTCTCACCATCACCAGCAGGGTCAGCTACAACATCTCCTGCCTCCACTCCCTCCTCCACTGGCCTCCCACCATCACCAGCAGGTTCAGCTACAACATCTCCTGCCTCCACTCCCTCCTCCACTGGCTTCCGACCATCAACAGCAGGGCCAGCTACAAGATCTCCTGCCTCCACTCCCTCCTCCACTGGCCTCCGACCATCACCAGACGGGCCAGCTACAAGATCTCCTGCCTCCACTGGCTTCCCACCATCGCCAACAGGGTCGTCTACAGGATCACCTGCTGTCTCTGCCACCGCTTTCGGTCGTCCACAGTATCTTTCGTCGCTCACCCTACCGTCACCCTGCAACGCAGCACACGGCAGAAGTCTCTGCAGCAGCGAGCGCGACTCACGGCCTCCTACCCGCTATTGCAAAGATCAGGGCCGTCACTGCCAGTTGTCGTCTCTCCGTGGCAGGCCTTGCCGTCTGGAACGCCATCCTGCGTCACATTCACAGCCCTCAATCTACACAGGCATTTCACAGACACTTAAAGGCCCCGCCTCTTAGATTCGCCCCGTTTTCACGAGACACTGGACTCGACTCCGCGCCTCAGAGCCACGGTCATTTATGTCTGTGGCATATTGTGCACGTTAGAAATTGCACGCCGATTAGAACAGTTTGACGAGCGTTTGTAGCCATTCTACTTGGAGGGCCAGTAGGCAGGCCCTCGCCAGGCCTGAAGCCGGCAGGCCTAGAGCCCACGGCTAGAGTTAGCTCTACACCACAAGTGCACAGGGACCCCGCATCTTCAGGCATCCCAAAAAGATTTGTCTTTGTCTCTCGGCATCTGTCTCTCTCCACGTCTCCATGTCCCATCGCCCCGCCCGACTCCCATCTGCGCAGCCATCATAGGTTTGACCACGATCGCCTCAGCGTGGGCCTTGCCTAGGCCGGCTGCAGCCAGGAGTGGTCCAGGCTCTCTGTGTGTGTCTCTCTCTCTGCGTATCTCTCTCTTGGTGTCTCCAGGTCCTCTCAACCTCTCACCTCATCTACACAGGGCCGCCCCCGCCACCGCTCATCGTCATGACGATGGCATGGGCTATAGCCTGGGCCCCGCTAGGCCTGCTGCAGCCATTCGTGGTCGAGGCTCTGTGCGGCCGTGGCTCTCCGCCAGGGCCTCGGCGCCAGCATGGGCAGCAGGAAGGAAGCGAAGGCGTTCGCCTCGTCCGCGCTCCAGCCGTACTTCTCCAGCAGCATGTCGGGCAGCGCCCACGGCGTGAGCTCGTCGATGTGCCTCATCTCTCCTGCGGGGGGTCACGGGGGGTCACGAAATGCGGTGAACTGCCGTGACCACGCTGCACAACCGCTCCCCACACGCGCGCTCACCACCACCACAAGAGCAGCAACAAAAAACAGCAACAGAGCCTAGCTTGTATAAAAGTTGTATTCGCCCAATTAAGCCTTTCCTGTTCCGAGATCTCCGCAAGGTGGGTCCATGTTTACCGCTGAACCTCGGAACGCGCGAGCGGCTCAGCGTAAAGTTTTTTTTTTATTTCGAGAGGCGTAGTAGTAGTAGCGTCGGCGCTTTTTAAAAGACATTGTTTACCCATCGCAGAGAATCGGGTATTGGACGTGCGAGAGGAAAGGCCGTTCAGCGTTGCGGGGGATCGAGGGTTGCCCCCTCTCACTTAGCGTGGGTTTTTCTCACTCGTTTACGGAGGTGGCCAAACATCCCCAATGTAGGATGACAGAGCTTGGGCAATCATTGGCAGCACCGTGACCGTGTGGTTTTCCCATGCCTCTGGATCACTCCCCTCGACTCTCTCTGAGAGCGAACGGCAAAACTGCGTGCGTCACACATTTCTCAAGCGTTGATCAGTATTCGTTCCCCAACTCCACAGTTGCCCGCACTCCCTGATAATAATAAAAACAATCACGTTTGCTTTCGCGTAGCATCGTTCAGTCCGTGCAAATCTGCATCTCACACAATCCCCAAGGAGCCACTAACAAGCTGCAGTGTGGCAGCCGTGCAGGCGGGGGTGTGAGCCGGCGCTGGCAACACATTTCCCAAGCTCTGGACTCCTCTACATATTAAGATGTTTTGCGAAAGGGCTGAGGGTGGGGGTAGGGGGGGAGGTCACGTGAGTTATCGATGGGTGTCACTCTGCGCGGTGCACCGACCTTTGCTGTTGAATATTTCCCGAGAGTATCTCCCGGACATCGCAAAGCTCTTGGGGAGGTTTCCCAGCAGCTCGATGATGTGCGCTATGTGGTCTGCGCACGCACACGCACACACAGACAAAGGTCCCCCGTATAGCCTCTTAACAGACTGTTGGGGCAAGTGCTGTTAGGGAGCACCTGTGAAGGCTGGCACGGCACACGAGGGGGTGGGTGGCCAGCACCACGCCCGGCCGCCTTTGTCTCCCCAGTGGCGATGTTTACACACCGCGCAAGGTAGTCATTTGAGGCTGAGTCGAGACGCACACACACATACACACATTTCAACACACACGTGTGTACACACTCAAATGCTCTAATCCCTCCTGGAGCAATTGCAGATCAATTGCGTGACTGTGTGTGACTATGTGTGCTGTGTGTGACTGTGTGTGACTGTGTGTGTGTGTGACTGTGTCACTGTGTCTGTGAGTGACTGTGTATGTGTGTGACTGTGTGTGTTGTGTGTGACTGTGTGTGACTGTGTGTGTGTGACTGTGTGACTGTGTCTGTGAGTGACTGTGTGTGTGTGACTGTGTGTGTTGTGTGAGTTGTGTGTGACTGTGAGTGTGACTGTGTGTCTGTGTGTGTTTGTGTGACTGTGTGTGACTGTGTGACTGCGTGTGACTGTGTGTGTCTGTGTGTGTGTGACTGTGTGTGCTGTGTGTGTCTGTGAGTGACTGTGTGTGACTGTGTGTGGCTGTGTGTGACTGTGTGTGTGGCTGTGTGTGACTGTGTGTGACTGTGTGTCTGTGTGTGACTGTGTGTCTCTGTGTGTGACTATGTGTGACTGTGTGTGTCTGTGTGTGACTGTGTGTGTGGCTGTCTGTGTGTGCCTGTGTGTGACTATGTGTGACTGTGTGTGTCTGTGTGTGACTATGTGTGACTGTGTGTGGCTGTGTGTGTGTGACTGTGTGTGTGACTGTGACTGTGGTTGTGAGTGTGATTGTGAGTGAGACTGTGGTTCTGAGTGTGATTGTGAGTGTGTGACTGTGGTTGTGAGTATATAACTGGTTGTGAGTGTGTGACTGTGAGTGTGGTTGTGAGTGTGGTTGTGAGTGTGTGACTGTGAGTGTGTGACTGTGAGACTGTGGTTGTGAGTGTGATTGTGAATGTGTGACTGTGTGAGTGTGACTGTGCGTGAGTGTGTGACTGTGAATGACTGTGAGTGTGTGACTGTGGTTGTGAGACTGTGGTTGTGAGTGTATGACTGTGAGTGTGTGACTGTGGTTGTGAGTGTGTGAGTGTGTGGTGTGAGTGTGTGAGTGTGGTTGTGAGTGTGGTTGTGAGAGTGTGACTGTGGTTGTGAGTGTGACTGTGAGTGTGATTGTGAGTGCGACTGTGGTTGTGACTGTGAGTGTGACTGTGGTTGTAAGTGTGTGCCTGTGAGACTGTGGTTGTGAGCGTGTGACTGTGAGTGTGGTTGTGAGTGTGTGACTGTGGTTGTGAGTGTGGTTGTGAGTGTGGTTGTGAGAGTGTGAGTGTGGTTGTGAGTGTGGTTGTGAGTGTGGTTGTGAGACTGTGGTTGTGATTGTGAGTGTGTGATTGTAGTTGTGAGAGTGTGGTTGTGAGTGTGAGCATGTGACTGTGACTGTGGTTGTGAGTGTATAACTGGTTGTGAGTATGTGACTGTGAGTGTGTGAGTGTGGTTGTGAGACTGTGGTTATGAGTGTGACTGTGAGTGTGGTTGTGAGTGTGACTGTGAGTGTGATTGTGAGTGTGTGACTGTGACTGTGGTTGTGAGTGTATGACTGGTTGTGAGTATGTGACTGTGAGTGTGTGAGTGTGGTTGTGAGACTGTGGTTATGAGTGTGACTGTGAGTGTGGTTGTGAGTGTGACTGTGAGTGTGATTGTGAGTGTGTGACTGTGACTGTGGTTGTGAGTGTATGACTGGTTGTGAGTATGTGACTGTGAGTGTGTGAGTGTGGTTGTGAGACTGTGGTTATGAGTGTGACTGTGAGTGTGGTTGTGAGTGTGACTGTGAGTGTGATTGTGAGTGTGTGACTGTGACTGTGGTTGTGAGTGTATGACTGGTTGTGAGTATGTGACTGTGAGTGTGTGAGTGTGGTTGTGAGACTGTGGTTATGAGTGTGACTGTGAGTGTGGTTGTGAGTGTGACTGTGAGTGTGGTTGTGAGTGTGACTGTGAGTGTGATTGTGAGTGTGTGACTGTGAGTGTGGTTGTGAGTGTATGACTGTGAGAGTGTGACTGTGAGTGTGTGACTGTGAATGACTGTGAGTGTGTGACTGTGGTTGTCAGTGTGGTTGTGAGGCTGTGGTTATGAGTGTGTGGTTGTGAGTGCGACTGTTCACGAACCCTCGTCTCTGGAGTATCCCTCCCCCGAGTGCGGCTCAAAGAGATACCCTCCTGTGGCCAACTCGAAGGCCTGGGGTGTGAGACAGAGGGACACACGGACACCGCGATGTGAGACGAGTGGGGTGGTACTAGTGGTACTATCGGTACTAGTGGTGTGGTACTAGTGGGGTGTTTCTAGCGGTACTAGCGTGACTAGTGGTGTAGTTCTAGCAGTACTAGTGGTGTTGTACTAGTGGTAGTAGAAGTACTAGTGGAGTGGTATTAGCTGCGGACCATGCAGGCGGTGCTCCAGATGTCGGCCGACGTTCCGTACTCGGCCCCCAGCAGCACCTCCAGGGCGCGGTACTGCCGCGTCTGGATGTCGTCCGAGAAGTGCTTGTCCTGGCAGAGGTCACAGGGGTCACGGCAGAGGTCACGGCACAGAGGTCACGACACAGAGGTCACGGCACAGAGGTCACGGCACAGAAGTCACGGCACAGGGGTCATAGGGGTAACGGCACAGAGGTCACGGCACAGGGGTCACGGGGGTCACGGCACAGAGGTCACAGCAGAGGTCACAGCACAGGGGTCACGGCACAGAGGTCACGGCACAGAGGTCAATGCGTTGTGGTTCCGGCATAGGTCATGGGCCGCCGCTAGGTCGACTCAGCCTTAATTGAAGACAGTACCTGGTGTTGCTGTGAAACATCAGCACTGGGGAGACAAAGGCGGCTGACCATTGGTCGTGGCCTGCATCGATGTGTTCTCGACCAGCACTTGTCCACAAACATAATCGATGGTGATGGTGATGGCTGTGGTGGGTACTTGTGGATCTGAGTGGTTGTGCTGGTGGTTGTGGTGGTGGTCGTGGTGGTGGTGATGGTCGTGGTGGTGATGGTGGTGATGGTGGTGGTGATGGTGGTGGTGGTGATAGTGATGGCTGTGGTGGTTACTTGTGGATCTGAGTGGTGGTGGTGGTGGTGATGGTGGTGGTGGTGATGGTCGTGATGGTGGTGGTGATAGTGATTGCTGTGGTGGTTACTTGTGGATCTGAGTGGTTGTGATGGTGGTGGTGGTGGTGATGGTGGTGGTGGTGGTGGTGATGGTCGTGATGGTGGTGGTGATAGTGATGGCTGTGGTGGTTACTTGTGGATCTGAGTGGTGGTGGTGGTGATGGTGGTGTTGGTGGTGGTGATGGTCGTGGTGGTGGTGGTGGTGATAGTGATGGTTGTGGTGGTTACTTGTGGATCTGAGTGGTTGTGATGGTTGTGATGGTGGTGGTGGTGGTGATGGCTGTGGTGGTGACTTGTAGATCTGAGTGGTTGTGGTGGTGGTGGTTACTTGTGGATCTGAGTGGTTGTGGTGGTGGTGGTGATGGTGGAGGTGGTGATAGGGGAGCGGGGAGTGCAGCGGTTAGCACGGGGCACTACGAACCCGGCAAACCTGGTCCTGGGCCTCCTCTAGGTCGAATCAGCCTGAAATTAGTACCTGGTACAATGTGTAAACATCGCCACTGGGGAGACAAAGGCGGTCAGGCGTGGTGGTGGCCACCCACCCCCTCGTGTGCTGTACCGGCCTTCATAGGTGCTCGCTAACAGCACTTGCCCCGACAGTCTGTTAAGGCTATACGATGGATCTTTGGAGGTGATCACAGTGATGGAATACTGTCGATGAGATGGTGATTGGTGGTGGTGATAGTGGTGGTGAGGTAGTGGTGTCGTGATTAAGGTGGTGGAGGTGATGACAATGATGTTGGAAGATCTGAGGTGGGCGTTATGGTGGTGGGTGGTGGTGGAGGCGACAGTGGTGATCGATGAGGTTATGTGGTGAGATGATGGTGAGAGTGACAGCAGATGTGGTGGTGGTCATATTGATGGATGTAACGGTGGTGAGGTGTGACTGTGCGTGAATCTTTGTCAAGGCGGAGAGACGGTGGTGATGGTGTAAGTGGCGAGGTGACATTTGTGGTGGTGGTGATGGAAGATGTAAATGGTGGTGGTGAATTAGATTTCGTTGGTGTTTTTGGGTGAGGCGGTGGTGATGGTGGCGGCGGTGGCGGTAATGGAGAAGGTGATGGATGAGGCCGGTGGAGAAAGAGGAGGTGGAGGAGGAGGTGGAGGAGCTGGAGGAGGAGGTGGAGGAGGTGGAGGTGGAGGAGTTGGAGGAGGCGGAGGAGGTGGAGGAGGAGGTGGAGGAGGAGGTGGAGAGGGAGATGGAGGAGGTGGAGGGGGAGATGGAGTAGGAGGAGGTGGAGGAGGTGGAGGAGGATGTGGAGGAGGGGAGTAGGAGGAGGTGGAGTAGGAGGAAGTGGAGGAGGAGGTGAAGGAGGAGGTGGAGGAGGAGGTCGTACCACCACACAGGCGTTGCCCAGGTCGACGACCTTCACGAGGAGATGTTCGGCGCTTGCGGGTCCAGGATGTCTGGCAGCAGATCCGCAGCGCTCGGCACGACTTGCGGCCAATCAACCGACACCACGAAACTTGTCGGTTCACTTTTTGTAATCATCGACTTTCATCAATATTCATAAATTTTCTTTTTTTAAACCACACAAACCTTACCATATTAATAAAAAGTATGCGGCCCTTGCCCCACCACCTTCTCCAACCATTATATAAACGGAGTGGTAGCTCTTGTCATCTCTCATTTACTTGATACAGCTGTCGTGGCTGTGACGGTACACCTGAAGACGGAAGCTTGTGTTGCCTCCGAAACGTCGTGATTTTTATTTTATTTTACTTTTTAATGTTTTTACCTACGTGACTTTACCGAAAAAAACCTAAGAATATGAATCCTTGCAGTCACGAAAGCTTCAAATCTAGAATAAACGCAACTTTTGTTTGCGGTTTGATATTCATGCTTTCGACTTATGTGCAAATAGCAACATTCATTTGTCACAATCGACCTATGTGTGGTATGCACGTTGAACTTCTTTCGCACCGTACGTCGCCAACCGTGCTAATCGGAGCTGCGGGTGTAAGGACACCAAACTAAACACAAAAAGCGGTTCTGTAGAAATGAGTTTGTCAATCCGGATGATGATTTAAAAGCACACATATATATCCAGCGGCTTCCTAATATCGGAAGGAAGAGCGTTCCAGACGGCCGCAGAAGAGCATCTGAAAGCGCGCGATGCGGTGACTGCAGTTTTTGTTTGACGGTTAGTCAGAAGCCGCTGCTGCGAGGATGAATGGAGTTTGCGTGGTGATGGTTTATGCTCCTTGACGAGAACAGCGAGGTATTGTTGGCCATTTGTTGCAAAGGTGTCAGTTTTGTTGCCAGATAGAAGGGTAAAAAAACAATTATCATATTTATTATTGGCAAATGAGGTTCCAATGGTTGTAAATGCTTACCCCGAGCTCTCATACTCTGATGGTGCATTGTCTTTGAGTTGTGCGCCTTTTGGCGTCATCTGGTCCAACACCATGTGAGACTAGGCTCTAAGGAAAGCTGTCTCGGGTGTGGACCAATCAACTTCAAGGACAGTGCATATATTATCAGAGTTATGTTTTTTGTTTGCATTATGGCTGCAGGTATTGTGGTCTATGTAAACATGACTCCTTGTAAAAAAAGGTGTCAGTTTTGTTGCCAGATAGAAGGGTAAAAAACAATTATCATGTTGCAAAGCTGTTTGGTGGGTGCCAAGGGATGGGACAGGAGTCAGCATTGAGTGCCACGGTGGCTAGGAGATGTTAGCTACCTCGCCTGGTATACAGGAGGTCGTGGGTTCGACTCCGACCCTGACGCCTGCTGTATATTTGGAGTTTGCGTGTCTCTGTCTTTCATCATCATCACGGTTGCTAGGAGATGTTAACTACCTCGTCTGTATACAGGAGGTCGTGGGTTCGACTCCGACCATGACGCCTGCTGTATATTTGGAGTTTGCGTGTCTCTGTCTCTCATCATCATCACGGTTGCTAGGAGATGTTAGCTACATCGCCTGTTGTACATGAGGTCCTGGTTCGATCCCGACAGTGACATCTGCTGTATATTTGGAGTTTGCGTGTCTCTCTCTCTCTCATCATCATCACGGTGGCTAGGAGATGTTAACTACCTCGCCTGGTACACAGGAGCTCGTGGGTTCGATCCCGACCCTAACGCCTGCTGCTGTATATTTGTAGTTTGCGTCTCTCTCTCTCTCCGTGGTCGCGTGGATTTTTCTCTGGGGTCCTCCGGTTTCCCCCTCCACATTTAGAATCAACAACATCACGCGTTAAGAGTATTTGGCCGCTGTAAATGTCCACGTGATGATGACAAGCCACTTTGTTGAGCACTCATTCGTGACGGCCAGCTCGCTTCATATTTTAGTTCATCGTTAAGTTTTATAGTTTATTCTCTGCGTCCGTTCCTGGGCAGAACGAAACATTTCTGTGGAAGGGGAACGTTCAAATTCCGCGTTGACACCGCGGCAGACAAACGTGGGACCCACCGTGAAGCGGAGTGGCTGGCGTAGAGAGTTCATCCAAGGTCACGGTCCCCCCTCCTCCCTCCCCGCTGCTCCCCCATCCACCCCTCCTCCCTCCCCGCTGCCCCCATCCACCCCATCCTCCCTCCCCGCTGCTCCCCCATCCTCCCTCCCCGCTGCTCCCCCATCAACCCCGTTCTCACCCACCCCATCAACCCCGTTCTCACCCACCCCTTCTCCCCCATCCTCACTTCCCACTACTCCCCCATCCACCCCATCCGCGCTCTCCTCATCAACCCCGCTCTCACCACCCCTTCTCCCCCATCCTCACTCCC